TTTAAAAGAAATATAGGTGAGAACTCAAACACATACTTGGAAACAGTGCTTAAGAGGAATGCAAAAGAGAATGACCATTTGAAAAAAATAAAATTGCAAAAGTAGAAATAAAAATGTTCAAAAATAAAATACTTATGTACTATTTTTTTATCAACTTTCCCAAACTCAACTTTTTGTCGGTGACAATCAAATCAGAGGAAAATACTTAAACAAACAAACAAACAAACAAACAAAGAATTCTACTTTATCAACAAGTCTGTATTCAGATTGTTTGGAAAATAGGGATAAAATATTTGTCATTTTTATGTATTACACATTGCTGGCAGTTCTAAATTAATAAAGCAGTATTAAAATATAAATGAAAATTTGAATTACTATAGAGACTAACACCTATGATTACCACCCCACAACAACAATGCAGATTCTAGAACAAAAGTCTTCTTTTCAGAAAAACTGACTTTAATTTCAAATGTCACTAATAAGGGATATTCTTTTTTTGATGTAATGAAACTGCTACATGAGAAATACAGAGGTTATGCCAATTTCAAATTCACATAGTATCTATTTATGCATATCTAATTCTCACGTTTAATTTCCTTTCACTTTGTGTTTTATAATTCATTTTGGTGACAATTCCTACAATCAGGATGAAGCACAAAAAGTTTTATTTAATATTGTTGCTATAATGATAATTTTACACGGGGTAATTTTCTCAAATATATTTTACCTTTGCCCCCCAAAAGTATCAGTCACAACAGAACTTTTGATCACAGGGCAATTGCACAGGTTGCTAATGGGATGCAAACTGCCAACAAATAAACACAGTCTGACTTGAAGTAAGTCCAGTTACTCTCTGACAGACGGGCAACCACTTGCCAATAATTAACACTTAGTTTATAAATGCAGACAGAGAGTCAAGATATTGCAATCTCAGTCAGTCTGCACTGATGGGACCAACTCTGCATGTCTTAACACATCTCTTTACAACACAGGACACAGGGTTATATTCCTTTATAAAAGTAAAGTTGATGAGAGCCTCCAATTTTGCTAGTAAATCGCTGTAATTTCTGCAGTCTCCATCCACTTTTTTCCCTCGAGCGCCTTTAACATAACTGTTTATGTGTTTGTGTCATTTTTATTTGAATCACGTTTGTACTTCTTAGCCCTTTATTTTAAAGGCAGTTACACTAAAACAAGACATTAAAAAGGCCTGATGATAATTTGAGGTTGGGGTAAAAAAGTGCCATGTAGTTTGAACTTACTGGTTTTCTTTTGTCCACACTTCCATATTAGGAATATTACTGTCCCGACGCTTATTAAACAGACAGCCAAGTTGATGATAATGTGAACAGCAGTGTTAGACTGGACCATGAAGAGATCACCTGTGAATATAAGGAGACAAAATGTTCTAGATTCTACTTTCTGTAACTGAAAGTTAATGTGAGTGATAAAAAAGCATTTCTACCTGAAACATGGATGTGTGTCTCTTTGATTTGACTGATATTCTTCTGTTGAACTTTGCAGGTGAAGCTGTAGCTCTGTCCTTTCTC